GGTTGTAGGTCTGAGTGCTACTGCAACTGTCAAAAGCCTTGCATACACTGTAAAATACAGCTGCAGAGGACACTGAGAGGCAGGAGCAGGACCGAGGGCTACGGGAAGACCAGAGAGAGGGACCAGAGGGAGACTAGGGAGAGAATCCAGAGGGGGGACTAGAGAGAGCAGAGAGAGACCAGAGAGAGAGACTAGAGGGAGACCAGGGTGAGACCAGAGGGAGACCAGGGAGAGACCAGAGAGAGAGACCAGGGAGAGAATCCAGAGAGAGAGACCAGGGAGAGAATCCAGAGGGGGGACTAGAGAGAGCAGAGAGAGACCAGAGAGAGAGACTAGAGGGAGACCAGGGTGAGACCAGAGGGAGACCAGGGAGAGACCAGAGAGAGAGACCAGGGAGAGAATCCAGAGGGGGGACTAGAGAGAGCAGAGAGAGACCAGAGAGAGAGACTAGAGGGAGACCAGGGAGAGACCAGAGGGAGACCAGGGAGAGACCAGAGAGAGACCAGAGAAGCACAAGAGAGAGACCGCAATTGTGCTCTGAACTAATCACACAAGCCACAAACGTATTCTTCTGATTTTAAATAAAAGTAATTGTCATACTAGCGGTTATATGATGTTGTAGATTATGTTTAACCCGGCAGACAAAAAGTATGCTGTAAAAAAGCAGACAAAATGTACTACTAAAGCCTAAAACAACAGAAATGATCGCCATCTGCTGGCCGTTTGAAGAACTGCACCCCATCGTAAAGGTACGGCCCACAAGGAATATGAGAGATTTTTCCCCAATTGACTTTTCAAAATCAACTAGTTAAAGTACATATTCTTTTAAGCATTGATTTTTGTTGAATATTAACTTATCTGATGGTTTATGGAAGCTAATATTTGGCTATATTTTGCTTGAATTTAACGTTTATAAAAGCCCTACATCACACAACAAAGGGGTCACATAATTGATCAAGAGACTTCAGGAGAATGAACCAATAAAAGTGAGAAGGAGAAACTGTTATTAAATCAGTGTTGGAGTCTGTCATTGGTTTAAAGTTTATCTTCTTGAGGAATGAAGCTGAGATGGAGTCAAAGCCAACGCCAAATTCACCACTTCCAATCCCCAGGAGTTGAAATGTCCAAAGATTAAGAGTTTGAGGACACGACGAATGGATAACTAGCTAGCTACTATTCATGACCCTTAAAGAAACACCATTTAAGTTTGCAAAATAAAGAAGCAAGTATAACACCTCTAGCTTTGGTATAATAACGAAACCTCTTACTGTAGCATAATAAAGGAGCAATTATAACTTAAAATCCTGTGTATTCTAGTGCATGAAGTATATAATTGTATGTATATATTTGTATGTTAGCAGTACGGTATGGTCTTACATCTCTTTCGACAAAATGATAAAGTGTTTATTTGATCTGCGCTAAACAGAAGTCTCAGTCGCATCAGAGCGGGACACACACAATGGCAGCACACACAGCGGCTCACGTCTCTGATAATTGGCGTTAGCGGCAAACTACAAAGCTAGCTCAGGGGTTCCCAGAGCCACACACAAGACTGAATTTGCACTTGAATAAATGCCCTTGAATGAATGTCATCTGGCCTCGTCGTCAGAACAGGGAGGGGGTTCGACAGGCTTCCCCCGCTCCACGAGTCTGATCAAAGAGGCACTGGGGTCTGTATACAGTCTGACATTACCTGGATATCACGACAAAATGCCAGGGTACGACTGTTGTGAGTAGAGAAGTCTGGGCGTCTCTGCTTAGACTGCTGCGACCCGGCAACAGATAAAGCGGAAGAAAATGGGAGGATGGATTTATTTGTGATTAAAACCATTGAGGAGACAATCTTCATAGCATTTATTTTTACAATTCTCAAGCAGATTATCCAATCAAGAGAGCAGAATACGGATCTCCCAACCATAGAACTGTGTTGTATATAGTAGTAGCATTGTTAGCCTTGTTAGCTCGCGTGGCTAACAGCGGTGACCATGGGTGTTACCAGGAGCACAGACAGAGCCTTCCATCGTCTGCTCGCTGCACGCCGGAGGACCGGGGCATGCCATGTTTCCTTTACTTTGTCAGGACATGCTTTGATTTGACTCTAATGTTACATACATTCTCCACAGAAGTATATGGCACCGGTTCAAAAACATTTCGACTCAAACGGTCAAATTTGACTTGAGGTTGTTCGGACAAGATCTGGTTGATTCTCGGTGGCGACTGGCCGTGGGTACAGCAGGATACAAGCAGAGTTCTGTAACTTGTAACGTAACCTGTAACGCGTCACATGTCATTATTCATTCACTCCATACGCCACTACTGTAGCCGCAGCTGCCCCGGGGCACACTGACAGAAGAGAGGCAACCAGTCTGTGCCATCTGCCCGTCCGACCACCACCAACCTTTCACACTCACACACACACTAGACTCCTCCTTGGCAATGGGGTGAAGTGTTTTGCCTAAGGATTCAGATTCAGATTCATTTATTTGCCATTTGCAGTAAAACCACATTGGAAAAACTGTGCAAGACTACCCCAGTGTGCACCAGACGACACACACCAGAGCTCTTGCCACGACGCCATCTTTTACGCCTTTCGTAAACACAAGTCGGAGGAGAAAGTCTTGTCTCTTGTCGTCCTGAGCTTTTTTTTCTTGTTAAATCCTTCGGTTTTCTTTAAATCCACAAACTCTGCTCGTTTATCTCCCAGTCTAACTCCCGCTCTGGTTCCGCTTTGAGCCTCTCTGTGCACGTGCATGAGAGACACACACACGCGCGTTTATGCCGCAAAGCATCATGGGAGCTCGTCCACTGCGCAACTTGTCTTTCTCTCTATTCGGGCCAAAAAAGATAGCATTTTGACAGCGCTTCTTCTTCTTCTACTATATCTCCGCGTATAAACCCGGCAGACGTCACATCCGGCCCTGTCAGACGCTGGTCATTTGCGCCGCTGCCCCGACGTCATATGAAACCCAAGAGTACACATTCACATACATATACAGAAACTCCGCAAACCAAGGCAGAACTGAAACAATAAAAAACGCAACCCGAATATTTTTATTTTTTTTACTCTCCCCCTCCCCCCCAACCCCTCCCACCTTAACACCTACTGTATTTGTAAACCGTATATATTAGATTTCGAATATAATTTTGTTTTATTTCTTTCTTTTATGTTTTCATTCTTGTAATTGTATTAAAATAAAAAAAATAAAAAATAAAAACAAGTTCAGTTTATCTTTTTTTTTTTTTTATTATTTTATTTTATTATTTTATTTTTTTGTAAAATATATAGACTCATTTGACCACATTCGACATAGCACCTATGCACCCCTGCATTGCATACACATTCACATACATATACAGAAACTCCGCAAACCTAGGCAGAACTGAAACAATAAAAAACGCAACCCGAATATTTTTTTTTTTTTTTACTCTCCCCCTCCCCCCCAACCCCTCCCACCTAAACACCTACTGTATTTGTAAACCGTATATATTAGATTTCGAATATAATTTTGTTTTATTTCTTTCTTTTATGTTTTCATTCTTGTAATTGTATTAAAAAAAATAATAATAAAAAAAAAAACAAGTCCAGTTTATTTCTTTTTTTTTTTTTTTTTTAAGTAAAATATATAGACTCATTTGACCACATTCGACATAGCACCTATGCACCCCTGCATTGCATACACATTCACATACATATACAGAAACTCCGCAAACCTAGGCAGAACTGAAACAATAAAAAACGCAACCCGAATATTTTTATTTTTTTTTTACTCTCCCCCCCTCCCCCCCATCCCCTCCCACCTTAACACCTACTGTATTTGTAAACCGTATATATTAGATTTCGAATATAATTTTGTTTTATTTCTTTCTTTTATGTTTTCATTCTTGTAATTGTATTAAAATAAAAAATAATAAAACATTAAAAAAAAACAAGTCCAGTTTATATTTTTTTTATTTATTTTTTTATTATTATTTTTTTTTTTGTAAAATATATAGACTCATTTGACCACATTCGACATAGCACCTATGCACCCCTGCATTGCATACACATTCACATACATATACAGAAACTCCGCAAACCAAGGCAGAACTGAAACAATAAAAAACGCAACCCGAATAATTTTTTTTTTTTTTACTCTTCCCCTCCCCCCCAACCCCTCCCACCTTAACACCTACTGTATTTGTAAACCGTATATATTAGATTTCGAATATAATTTTGTTTTATTTCTTTCTTTTATGTTTTCATTCTTGTAATTGTATTAAAATAAAATAAAAAAAATAAAAACAAGTCCAGTTTATCTTTTTTTTTTTTTTTTTTTTTAGTAAAATATATAGACTCATTTGACCACATTCGCCATAGCACCTATGCACCCCTGCATTGCATACACATTCACATACATATACAGAAACTCCGCAAACCAAGGCAGAACTGAAACAATAAAAAACGCAACCCAAATAATTTTTTTTTTTTTTACTCTCCCCCTCCCCCCCAACCCCTCCCACTGTAGATTTCGAATATAATTTTGTTTTATTTCTTTCTTTTATGTTTTCATTCTTGTAATTGTATTAAAATAAAATAAAAAAAATAAAAAAATAAAAAAAACAAGTCCAGTTTATCGACCCGAGCCCAGATCTTGTTCAAACAATGAGACTATCCGAGTTGGTTCCCGCCGTATGCCTCTGTGATTTGCATGTATTGATTGGTTTTGCATTGATCCAAAGCACAACGGCTTGTTTTGAATTCTACTGTATGTATACATATGTAGCCTCCTCATAAATGTATACATACGGACACGTGAAACAACCTACATCTGTTATGCATGACCAGGTTGCGCTCACTTCTGACTTTGAAATGGTTTGTTTTGCTGAGAGCTCTTCTGACATTGTTTTTTCTTCCTCCTTCTCCTCTATCCCCCCTCTCTCTCTCTCTCTGCTCCCATTGGTCCATTCTGTCCAATGTCCCGCCTCTTCTGTCCTTTCCCACTTCCTGCTCCGTCCACCAGATTGCGCAGCGTGAAGATGGAGCAGCGGAAACTCAACGACCAGGCCAACACCTTGGTGGACTTGGCAAAGGTAAACCGCTGAAGGTTATGTTTTCACCTGGGTTTGTGAGTCTGTTTGCACAATAACTCTAATGTTGTTATGAGCAGAGTAGAGCAGAGACAAGTTCAGTATGAAACGCCGGGAATGGGACCAGGGTCAGACTCAGGCCCGATCCAAAGCCAAAGACCTCTGCAATGATTTTCAATTCTCATTATTACAGTAACTTCTCCTCCTGTACTGGCGACACTAGCCTGGTCGCACCACACCATAGTACAGATTACATTTCATACTAAGGTCTGGATTCACTCCATTGACCATAACGTGACAAAAATGTGACCATAACGTGACAAGGATGTGACCATAACGTGACAAAAATGTGACCATAACGTGACAAAGATGTGACCATAACGTGACAAAGATGTGACCATAACGTGAAAAAGATGTGACCATAACGTGACAAAAATGTGACCATAACGTGACAAAGATGTGACCATAACGTGACAAAAATGTGACCATAACGTGACAAAAATGTGACCATAACGTGACAAAAATGTGACCATAACGTGACAAAAATGTGACCATAACGTGACAAAGATGTGACCATAACGTGACAAAGATGTGACCATAACGTGACAAAAATGTGACCATAACGTGACAAAGATGTGACCATAACGTGACAAAACTGTGACCATAACGTGACAAAGATGTGACCATAACGTGACAAAAATGTGACCATAAGGTGACAAAGATGTGACCATAACGTGACAAAGATGTGACCATAACGTGACAAAAATGTGACCATAACGTGACAAAAATGTGACCATAACGTGACAAAGATGTGACCATAACGTGACAAAAATGTGACCATAACGTGACAAAGATGTGACCATAACGTGACAAAGATGTGACCATAACGTGACAAAAATGTGACCATAACGTGACAAAAATGTGACCATAACGTGACAAAAATGTGACCATAACGTGACAAAAATGTGACCATAACGTGACAAAAATGTGACCATAAACGTGACAAAGATGTGACCATAACGTGACAAAGATGTGACCATAACGTGACAAAAATGTGACCATAACGTGACAAAGATGTGACCATAACGTGACAAAACTGTGACCATAACGTGACAAAGATGTGACCATAACGTGACAAAAATGTGACCATAAGGTGACAAAGATGTGACCATAACGTGACAAAGATGTGACCATAACGTGACAAAAATGTGACCATAACGTGACAAAAATGTGACCATAACGTGACAAAGATGTGACCATAACGTGACAAAAATGTGACCATAACGTGACAAAGATGTGACCATAACGTGACAAAGATGTGACCATAACGTGACAAAAATGTGACCATAACGTGACAAAAATGTGACCATAACGTGACAAAAATGTGACCATAACGTGACAAAAATGTGACCATAACGTGACAAAAATGTGACCATAACGTGACAAAGATGTGACCATAACGTGACAAAGATGTGACCATAACGTGACAAAGATGTGACCATAACGTGACAAAAATGTGACCATAACGTGACAAAAATGTGACCATAACGTGACAAAAATGTGACCATAACGTGACAAAAATGTGACCATAACGTGACAAAGATGTGACCATAACGTGACAAAGATGTGACCATAACGTGACAAAAATGTGACCATAACGTGACAAAAATGTGACCATAACGTGACAAAGATGTGACCATAACGTGACAAAGATGTGACCATAACGTGACAAAGATGTGATCATAACGTGACAAAGATGTGACCATAACGTGACAAAAATGTGACCATAACGTGACAAAAATGTGACCATAACGTGACAAAAATGTGACCATAACGTGACAAAAATGTGACCATAACGTGACAAAGATGTGACCATAACGTGACAAAGATGTGACCATAACGTGACAAAGATGTGACCATAACGTGACAAAGATGTGATCATAACGTGACAAAGATGTGACCATAACGTGACAAAAATGTGACCATAACGTGACAAGGATGTGACCATAACGTGACAAAAATGTGACCATAACGTGACAAAGATGTGACCATAACGTGACAAAAATGTGACCATAACGTGACAAAGATGTGACCATAACGTGACAAAGATGTGATCATAACGTGACAAAGATGTGACCATAACGTGACAAAAATGTGACCATAACGTGACAAGGATGTGACCATAACGTGACAAAAATGTGACCATAACGTGACAAAGATGTGACCATAACGTGACAAAAATGTGACCATAACGTGACAAAGATGTGACCATAACGTGACAAAAATGTGACCATAACGTGACAAAGATGTGACCATAACGTGACAAAGATGTGATCATAACGTGACAAAGATGTGACCATAACGTGACAAAAATGTGACCATAACGTGACAAGGATGTGACCATAACGTGACAAAAATGTGACCATAACGTGACAAAGATGTGACCATAACGTGACAAAAATGTGACCATAACGTGACAAAGATGTGACCATAACGTGACAAAGATGTGACCATAACGTGACAAAGATGTGACCATAACGTGACAAAGATGTGACCATAACGTGACAAAAATGTGACCATAACGTGACAAAAATGTGACCATAACGTGACAAAGATGTGACCATAACGTGACAAAAATGTGACCATAACGTGACAAAGATGTGACCATAACGTGACAAAGATGTGACCATAACGTGACAAAAATGTGACCATAACGTGACAAAGATGTGGCCATAACGTGACAAAAATGTGACCATAACGTGACAAAGATGTGACCATAACGTGACAAAAATGTGACCATAACGTGACAAAGATGTGACCATAACGTGACAAAAATGTGACCATAAGGTGACAAAGATGTGACCATAACGTGACAAAAATGTGACCATAACGTGACAAAAATGTGGCCATAACGTGACAAAAATGTGACCATAACGTGACAAAGATGTGACCATAACGTGACAAAAATGTGACCATAACGTGACAAAAATGTGACCATAACGTGACAAAGATGTGACCATAACGTGACAAAAATGTGACCATAACGTGACAAAAATGTGACCATAACGTGACAAAGATGTGACCATAACGTGACAAAGATGTGACCATAACGTGACAAAAATGTGACCATAAGGTGACAAAGATGTGACCATAACGTGACAAAAATGTGACTATAACGTGACAAAAATGTGACCATAACGTGACAAAGATGTGACCATAACGTGACAAAGATGTGACCATAACGTGACAAAGATGTGAGCATAACGTGACAAAGATGTGACCATAACGTGACAAAAATGTGACCATAACGTGACAAAAATGTGACCATAACGTGACAAAAATGTGACCATAACGTGACAAAAATGTGACCATAACGTGACAAAGATGTGACCATAACGTGACAAAGATGTGACCATAACGTGACAAAGATGTGACCATAACGTGAAAAAGATGTGACCATAACGTGACAAAGATGTGACCATAACGTGAAAAAAATGTGACCATAACGTGACAAAGATGTGACCAAAACGTGACAAAAATGTGACCATAACGTGACAAAGATGTGACCATAACGTGACAAAGATGTGACCATAACGTGACAAAGATGTGACCATAACGTGACAAGGATGTGACGTGACATAACGTGACAAAAGTGCCATAACGTGACATGAGACCATAACGTGACAAAATGTGACCATAACGTGACAAAGATGTGACCATAACGTGACAAAAATGTGACCATAACGTGACAAAGATGTGACCATAACGTGACAAAGATGTGACCATAACGTGACAAAGATGTGACCATAACGTGACAAAGATGTGACCATAACGTGACAAAAATGTGACCATAACGTGACAAAAATGTGACCATAACGTGACAAAGATGTGACCATAACGTGACAAAAATGTGACCATAACGTGACAAAGATGTGACCATAACGTGACAAAGATGTGACCATAACGTGACAAAAATGTGACCATAACGTGACAAAGATGTGGCCATAACGTGACAAAAATGTGACCATAACGTGACAAAGATGTGACCATACGTGACAAAAATGTGACCATAACGTGACAAAGATGTGACCATAACGTGACAAAAATGTGACCATAACGTGACAAAGATGTGACCATAACGTGACAAAAATGTGACCATAACGTGACAAAAATGTGACCATAACGTGACAAAAATGTGACCATAACGTGACAAAGATGTGACCATAACGTGACAAAAATGTGACCATAACGTGACAAAAATGTGGCCATAACGTGACAAAAATGTGACCATAACGTGACAAAGATGTGACCATAACGTGACAAAAATGTGACCATAACGTGACAAAAATGTGACCATAACGTGACAAAGATGTGACCATAACGTGACAAAAATGTGACCATAACGTGACAAAAATGTGGCCATAACGTGACAAAGATGTGACCATAACGTGACAAAAATGTGACCATAACGTGACAAAGATGTGACCATAACGTGACAAAAATGTGACCATAACGTGACAAAGATGTGACCATAACGTGACAAAAATGTGACCATAACGTGACAAAAATGTGGCCATAACGTGACAAAAATGTGACAAAGATGTGACCATAACGTGACTGTAGGGAACGCCCCTTTTTGGTTTTATTTTGAAATTCGTCGGGGCAACTTGGGTGCTTCCGTATTGTACTAAAGGTTGACATGGTGTGTGGACTCGGGATGGTCCTGTCTGAACTGTCTGTTTAGCGCATAGCTGAAAGGGGGATAAAAGGTGTGTATTTAAATGAGATTTTTTAATGATTTTTGTATGCCTTACTGATTTGATGTATTCATGGTTTTAGCTCTTACGGTGATCTTGTGCGAAGGAAATTAAAGGAAAATATGGCACATGCATCAGTACGAGCATTCATTCCGCTAAATGCGCTACAGTAAGCTTTTCCTTACGGATTGATGCATGGTCGTCCTCGCTGACTACGGAGCCGGCTTCTACTCGTGCGTTGACGGTGTGGAGCTGGTG